GGGGGGGGGGGGGGAGCAGTGGGATGGGAAGGTGCAGAATGGGGAAACAGGAATTTTGGGTGGATTTTTCTTTGTAAACTTCAGGTCATTTTCCTGTAATTTATTAAGCGAGGTGGAACTGCAGCCAAAGGAAGGGAAACATCTCTCTAAATGCAAAAGTATCTTAAATACAGTCGTCGTAACCCGCACTTTCCTATAGCTGATTAAATCCTCGGCAGCCGAGTACTGCTATTTCTTTGGAATATTTCCCTAATGGATGTGGCATCCTTTTAACATCCTGCTTTGTATAAAGTTTGACGACAAGCCGAGAATATTTAGCGAGCAATTCTTTTCATTTCTCCTAAATTGCATTATCATTAAACAAGTCATTGCCCCCATCGTGTTTTTATACCATAGACTGAATGTGAATCTCCATGATTAACTGTACGTCTCGCCGTTGGTTCAGCCACTGCACATTTTTGGGCTTCCAGCTTAAAATGTCTTTAAATATAGCGGGAGGTGCCAGGGCCTTTTGGTTTGGTATTTTTTGATTTTATCTGTTTTTTTGTCAGGTCTTTCTGCTCAGACACATAAAATCAAAATCACATTAATTAAGGTTAAACTTTTTAAAAGAGATTTGAAACTTATTTTCTCTATGTGCCTTCTTCATAGAATAGTTTGGGTTGAAAAGGACCTTAAGATCATCTAGTTCCACCCCCCTGGCATCCCCCCCGCACTAACCCATGTCACCCAAGACTCCATCCAGCCTGGCCTTGAACGCTGCCAGGGATGGAGCAGACACCTACAAAGCTGGACAGACCATGGACTAGCAACTGGGCTGGGTGAAAGGCGTTTCCTTTCATTTTTAAATGCTTACGTAGGGAAGAACTTTATTCAAAATAGAATTTTTTTTGTGAGTCCATCCACTATTCCTATTAGTTTTAATAGTTATGCAAACACATCAAGGGAAGAATATACCCTTAAGTGCTTATGTTTGGATCTACAGAAAATTCCTATGAGCATCATGCCCTACCACTTCCAAAAGGAATTTTATATCACAGCAAGGATGCAATAGCACACTGCAATACCACACCAGGGAAATGAACTACAAAACACCAAAAACCAGAACAGTTCTAGAATTTTATGACATTTTAAGGACTACAGATTCCTGTGCAAAGTTTTTACAGTGGAAAAGTCTGTTCTGATCATTGCTATCTATGTCCTTGTACCTTTCACAGTCAGTTACTGATTATGAAGTTAGCTGCAGTTCAAGACAAGAAAATACATACAGTAACTCTCAACACACCCATAAGCAACTTTACTTACAGGAGCAGTTGCTCGCACCTTAACTGCTTTCAAGGTAAGACTTTATTGTGAACATAAAATTAAATCATGATAGTGTGATGTGTGTTAGCAAAATAAATACTTGTAAAACATGTGAAAAATGATGGCAAGTTCTAGCATTAAAATATCCCACTAAAGGCCAGGAAAAAAACCAAAATCATCCTTTAATCTTACTGGTATATTGCGGGAATCCTGAATTTCCACACTGCAATGATTCCCCCTATAAATCTTACTCATTCAAACTGAATTTACACACACACCATTTGTCTGTATCTTAAATATAGAGAAAAAAAAACCCCCAAGATTTATTTTTTCCAGCTACAGCTGGAGACAAACATTCATTTGTGGGCAATTTCAGGTGTTCCCAAACATGTCTCCAGACTTTCCATTGTCAGAGAGAAGTATCTTCAAGTTACTTAAGGACACATTCTGCAGACACACATCTGATTAGCTTCATTCATTTAAATAAGCCCACTGAAGTGCAGAGGATTTATTCAGGTGAGTGACTGCAGAATCAGGCCCTTATGTAGGGAGATAAATAGATATTTAGACATTAAAAACCCCAACAAACTACTGATTTTTCTCTTAATGAGAGCAGGTTTCTTAGGTTTTTGTGACCTGCTACCTAAGCACATGTCTAAAATATGTATTCTTCTCATGAAAATCCTTACGAAAAGCAGTTCCTTGAAAAGCTTAATAGCTACATTTTAAAGTTTCACCTTCTCAACTGTGCTACATTAAAAAATATACACAATTTCATGGACTACTGACTTGCCAGATATTCTTTTGCAAACCCGATCCGTTTTGTTAATTAGAATAGCAAAAAGGATCTTAAACTAGCAATCATGTTTTGCTCCCAATTCAGAAAGCAAATTTTGGGCTAGAATCATACATAATGGATGTGCTCTAACTTCCTTCCCCAAGCTCCAGCACTTCTGTGAACAGGGGGTTATCTTAAATTGTACCCCCCGTCACTTTGATTTAGTGTCATAATACACCAGCCACAATGAATGTCAAGACACTCAATGCGCACAAGTGAGTACGTCGATGTATGGAGGACACTTCAACACAAGAGCTTCTTTTCCAGTCCTCTCTTCAAAGGAGAGGGTGCAGTTTAAGATAGAGATAAAATATGCAAAATATGTTCTGCCACAGCTCTCTCAGCCAGTCACCATTTTCCACAGGAGATGAGCAAGTGAAAAATCCGTGTATTTCTACAGATGTAAAACCTTTGCAAGTCCATAAAAGTGTCAGGAGAATTTGCTTAAAACAGCTTATAAAAATGGGAGAGAGAATGAGCCCCAGCCTATTATTCAATAACCATGTTTGTGAGGCATCTGCATAATCTAACCATGCATAAATTAGTATGTGTATTACAACAGTTATTTGCATAATAATAGCAAGTTAATAGATGCTTAAAGAGCACAGACCAACACCACCTTTAAATCAGACATGCCTCCAGGCACTCTGATCTGTACAGACCAAAACTGCCTTCATAAAACATACGAAAACATAAAAACCACATTCAAATAATTCATTTTAGTCCCTGGACACTTCACTTTTTCCCCTCTCACAGGAAAGAATAATTTGAGGAATTATGGAATAGTTTGTTACTCTGAATTCTAACATCCATCTTGCAATAAGAATTTAATCATCAAACCGGTTTCTGGATTGGTTGTTTTGTTCAGAGCTTCATGTTTTTTCAAGCATAAAGACAAAGTAAAATACTACCATTGCCACTGATGGTGGAAGCAGTTTTACCATCAACTTCAATGCAATTGAGTTAGGTCAGAGGAAAGTTGGAAAATGACCATATCTAAATTAAATACTAATATTAGGTCCTTTTAAAATGCAGAACCCAGAGCTCCCTTAAGTATTCCATTCACCTTATATTTTTGATTCGAGCAGCTTTTAGACTATTGTACCATTATTCAAAATTAAACTATAAAAAAGGAGCAGATACACCTTCCTGCTCCAAAAGCACTGTTGTAGATACTGGATTATTTTTTCATCTCACACCAAAACATTCATTAACATCATCATAATTTTCA